TTGGACAACATCCGCCTCTCCGACACCACCTTGAGGGAGTCCAGCTCCATCCCCACAACATTACTGGCCTTACGGATAAGAAGAGGGGTATTATAATCTCACTGTTTCATTAAATCCTGACAGAATGAAACTGCTTAGATTAGACACATTATCCCTGACCAGAGAACACATCTATCTTCTTATTTGAATAAAAATGTGAGTGTACAGAGCACACATCTGCTGGATCTACATCCCTAACAATGTTTGCACACCCTCTACATCTCCTGTTAATTACTGCTTTAGGCTCAACAATAAAACAAACACCTGGGAATTCGTAAACTGTTCCTTTGATTTTCCTCTCATAAGGTTTCATCTGAATCATTCTTTGCCTGGCCCTTCCAACAGAACCAATTTCCTTCGAGATAACTTACCAGCAGGCAAAAACACGGCCAGGCACATAGCCCCTGAAATCAATGGGACACACAAACCCCTTCACCACAGTAAGGTGGAAATTCTTAAAGAGGATAGATTTTTTATTTTCAAATTTGAAAAAAATAATAAGGTTCAATGTCAAAAATGTACATTACTCTGTTGCACGAGTGATAAGAGCAGGCCTCATAAGATACACTAAAATGCAGCATCTTATAGCTTTTTATTAGCATGTTGTATGTGTAAATTTACCACCTACCTAATGTATGCTATATGCTTTGTATTTTTCATTCATTTTATTTTTAATTTTTTTACTTTTTAAAATACCAATATTTATATATTATTATTATATATATTATTATATATATATAATATAAACCAATATTTTTTGGTTCATTTCAAGTTTGCTTTCTCCAGTTTTATTATTATCTAATTAAAAGCTTGGGTCTATTATTATTAGTGGTGGTGTTTTTCAAGGGGAAAATGTTTAAACTACATGCAACAATACAAATATAACTCTTTCTGAAGACACGGAATCTCAGTCAACAACATTACTCTTCAATTAATTTTGACTAAATTGTCAATTATCTCAGTTTATAGTTTATTTTTAAACTACCTACAGTAAACAAATATGAACATGAACCCTTTCTGTGTCTAATACACCACATCACCATTTTATATAAAATGAGAGCAATAAAACACACACAGACACTTTTTAAAAATAAGGGAATATATAGATAAACCCTAGTGTTACCCTATAAACCCTGGTTTGTAAGTAATGTCTGTAAAGGTTCTCAGTCATCCAGGTCATCGTAGTCTAAGGAGCTTAGAAGGAAAAGCGTCTGGACTTCTTTAAGTTTTTTGAAGACGTTTCACCTCTCATCCGAAAAGCTTCTTCAGTTCTAAAGGTCAAATGGTGTTGCATCTCTCTTCTTGATAAAAACCTTTATCAAGGTTTATATTAATACAAAAGCTAACACTGAAAGAATTGACCACACTAAGCCTAAGCTTTTAATATACATAACAAGTAAATTTAAACAAGCAAACTAGAAATGCACCAACATTTCAAATTTGAAATATTTGAATTTGAAAAAGCAAAAAGTAAAAAAACAAAAGTCTATTGTATTCACACATATAACATGTAAAAAAATTCTATAAGATGTTGCATTGTTAGCTGGTTTTGTGAGGCCCGCTCTTATCAGTTTATTTTTGTGATTTTATTTTTAAAACTCTTAACTCTGAAGGTGTTTCATTTTCTTTTAAAACAAACTAAACCCAAAATCCTGTTTCGTATTTTGGTGAGTTTGAATCCATATATGAGAGGATTCATAATTGGAGGGATGATCACAAATTCAGTAGCGATGAAGTTTTGGAGGCTTTCAGGCAAATCTGTGGAGTCGAATCAATGTGATCAAAGAGGTCAGATGTGGCACACAGGTCTGCATAAACTTTGCCCTGTCCTCTCTGGACTTCGCGCATGTTTTAATAAGATGTATGTAAGTCCAAATGATAAAAAAGCCATGAGACACATAAATGATAACTGTTGCATATGCTGTGATGTTGTTTGAAAAGGTGTCAGCTTCAGGGCAAGCAAGTTTAACAATTAACCAGTTTAGACATAAGACTCTCTGAATCTTTGTACCACATAACTTGAGTCTTGCTGTAAGCACAACATTGATGGCAAAAATACATAAAGGTGTCAGCCAGGAGAAACACACCAGCTGAGAGAGCCTCCTCTTACTCATGAAAGAGTGGTAGTGCAGAGGTCGACATATAGCCAGATACCTGTCAAAGGCCATGACAGCTAAAATGGATGAATTGCAGCAGACAGATGAGTACATGATAAAAGCTTGTAAAAGGCATCCTTCATGGGAGATTGTCTGAGAAGACGACAGTAAATCTGAAAGGAATTTTGGGTAGAAACCTGTGGACCCATAAAGTGCATTAATGCAAAAGCTACTCAGGAAAATGTACATAGGTTCATGTAGGTTTACATCCAAGACAATGAGCAGCACAAGAGAGACATTGAAAAACAAAATCACACAGTAATACAGTAAAGTAACCGAGAAGAGGGGTACTCTGAAATTCATTGTCTCATTAAATCCTAATAAGAATGAAACTTCTTACATTATGCACATTATCCATGATCAGAAAAATCATGTACTTTCTGATGTAGACTTCCTGATGTACACCCACAAGTAACAACTTGTGAGTGTACAGAGGAAAGAGCTGCTGTAGCTACATCCCTAACATTATCTGCTCTTCCTCTACACCTCCTGTTAATTACTGCCTTTGGCTCAACAACAAAACACACACCTGGGAATTCAGCCTCTGTTGGTCTATGGAACAAGAAAGAAAATGACCAAAGGACAAGCGAAGATGGATTTAAGTTCAATTTTGTAGTTGTTCATGGTGCCATGGTGATGACAGCAGCACATGTCTTACTCTGTAAGACGTGTGCTTACTTACTGATTAGATTAGATTGAATAATACGCAGTTGCTTTTCACCATGTGAAATGCTTAAAGTGCTGCATTTTACTTCAACCATAAGTATTAAGTATTCTCTCATTTTCCTGGGTCTTGTACCCAGCGCTTTCTGTTTTGGAAAATACTGTTTTACTGTTTGATTAATTTCCAGTTCATTCCAGTTTATTTTTTGTATTTCTTAAGTCCAGCAATGAAGCCGCTTTTTAATTTATTTTTTGTATGAGAGTCTGCACTTTAGATCCTCCATCCTGCCCACTTCATCCAGCCTTATGAGAGAACCACAGACTGTTATTAATAAATTATTTTATATGACATAGAAGAATGAAGTCCCTGTAAAGGTAGGGAGTAGGACACCCTTAAAGGGAACCCTATTAACACATGTTTGTGCTAAAATATGCACTGTGCTTTCAACAACATATATGTGGCATTAAAATACGCCAAATGTTTTCCTTTTACGCACATTTTATATAAAACCGATTTACCAGTAGGCCGCCATTGTTATTTACTTCTCTATGCATTCTGGGTAGTGACGTCACACGGTTGTACTGCATTGAGTTCACAGTTAGCAGCTCACTGGAAATGGCTTCTGTTCAACCTTTCCAGTTTGAACCAGAGCAAGCCGAGAGAGAGGATGAAAATAGTCAACCAGTATGTAGTTTAGATGAGGATGATAACAATCCGTCACACGAGAATGTGAGAGTGAGGGAAAGCTACTGGTGGCTATGTGGCTACTCAGTCCAAATTCCATTGACTCTTAGAAATGACTCTAGACTCGTACCAACAGTAACACCATTAGTTATAAAATGTTTTAATAAATGTTTTTTTAGGTGTCTTAAAGGAAAATGTAAACAGAAGGCAAGATCCATTATAGTTTACAAGGATAGGGTACAGCTGATGTTATAAATAGCATGACATTTTTATTTTTAAATTACCTTGAAGACCCACAAGTTATGCTTGGCTGCTTTTTGTTGATTTTTGCTCTGTGGTTAGGACGTTCCAGTCTTTATTTATTAATTCATTTATTTTTATTCAAAAGCAAATGAAATTGAGTGGAGACATTTCAAATAAATGGTATCATTTGTACAAACAGAACTTATTGCTGTCAGCTGGAACAGTATTATTAATTTTAATTGATTAAGTACCAGCGCTCCTTAAGGTTGTGCCAGGCACAGGTCAGGTTACTCCTTTTTACAATTTGCTTCACAAGGAAGAGGACATAACATTTACTTTTTTGATAAACAGTGGTTTTTTAGCCTGGTGTGATGACAGCCACTTAATTTAGGATGTAAAGAAAACCCAAAAGACTGTTTTCAGAGTAAAGGTGTGCAGAGGCCTAGGTCAGAGAGTTTTTCAACTCCCACCTCTGGCAGAGCTTTAGTAGCATTTTGATAATTACCTGAGAATAAATTTTTAGACCCAAGGATACTATAGTTAAGTGTAACAAAGCTAGGTGAGTAAAAACATTGTAGTCAACCAGAAAAAGAAGCTAAACATCAGAAAAAGATGTAAC